GTCTCTCTTTTTCAAGACGACCCTGACAGAAATTTAGTTGGATTTCAGTGAATATAAATATTTATAATCTCAATGAACGACATTATCGACAGGAGAACTCTGGATTTCAGTAACATTCGGAAATTCGAGCTCTTAATAAAAAATTATAGTGGTGATGTGGTTTCGGGAAGTAACGTGTTGCATCCCTAAATCCTTGCACTTAGCTATAACGTACTGATGACAGCTAGGTCATTAGCTAGAAACACGTGTCTGTGATTTGCAAATTTTTTTGAGTGTTTCGTCCATGAGTTTTTCCTGCTTTTATATATCATTCTGTGGTTCAATTAGAATTACATGTGATATCCATATAATTTTGTTTTAGTTAATGAGCCTAGACATGAAATTCGCGTTCAGTTAATTACTATATCTATCTCGCAATTTCATGATTCTATAGAATCAGCTTAATTTGATATATCGTTTAATAAATAGTTCTCACCTATTAATAAGTATAAATTAAATCTGCCAGACAGGATTGATATACCATTTTTCGTAATATTACTTATTTATGACCTGAAAAAGAGACCAGACATTATCTGGCCACTTGAATTGAAGTATAAAAGATAAAAAACTGGGTATTTATCTGTCCTCATTCATTGGGATTAGTAAAAAAATATCTTCAATGTATAATTTGAGTGCAAATTTCAGAATATAAGAAAGAATGTGCTTTCTCTACTAATAGAATCCATTGTTCCTGGCTAATAACTAAAAACCCTAATAATTGTCATGTCACGTAGGTCAATAAAATAGTTGATGTTTAGCATTGTAAGTAATATTAACTAACTTTTTTTTTTCAAATACGTCAAAGGCACAAAGTTTTTACTTTCTAATACAAATCTAAGATATATAAAAAAAAATTGAAGGGCGTTTAATTAAAATGAAATTCAGTTCGTACAAATTTCAACTTCTGTGGGATGTCATTAACAGGAAGGCAACAGCCGGTTAACAGAAGAAAACATATTTTTATAAACTTATCAGTTCCCCAGTTCGAATTGATTTTATAAAATTAATGATTCTACGATTCAAATCAGTCATCTGTGATCTTTTTAAATATGAAAACAGACAGTCAATTCTTTCAATCTAATCAAGAGAAATAAGCATTTCTGCTTGATTGCTTCTACTCGTCTGAAAAAAGGAGTACACCTTGACATAGATATAATAATTTGCTCATATAGTTGAATTGCTTTTTTTTTAATTTCTGACTTATATCATTATTAGATTTTTTCTTTATGAGTAATTAGATAATCTTTAGTTTACTTAAGACTGATTTTGAATCTATAGTTTGTTACAGTTGTTTTTTTAATAAATCATTCCAAACTATTTTTAATAAATTCTGGATAACGTTAACCTTATTTGGTGAATATTCAAGATAGTGTCATTGACACCAATGAATACGAATTGTTTTCATAAACTGCATAAAAATTCATAACAAAATAATTGTATAGAATTTATGGATAAAGTTTTACACAATCATTTTACTAAAGTTTCATTTTTACTAAACTGTGATAAGGTCCTATAAGTAATACTTTTATCCTGAAAACCAATTCAATTTAGGAGGAAATATATATTTTAAGAGAGTGAATTATTAAATTCTATTTGCAAATTGTGTAAAAGATCACATTTCCTAAATTTATTTTTATTGAATTTATGGCGTTTTGTTAAGAGATGTTGAATGTCTTATTTTTTTTGCTATTTTGCTAATTATTGGACAACTATTATCTACAATATCTACAATACAATCTGATGATTGGATTTATTATTGAAATAAATTATATACTCAAGTGAGAAAGTGAGGAGGGTTGACTTCTTTAATTTTAATTACGATCTGATATGGTTTTCAAAGCATCTTGGAATAAAGTGATTTAAAATTTTGTTTAAGGAATAAAAAGACATGGTCTAAGTTCTAATAGAAGATATAATGTATGGGAAACAAATTTGGCAAATTAGTAAACTGAATTTGAAAAGGTCCTATTTAAAATACAGTGTATGCACCTTTTAATTTCCTCAAGTCTATGTTTTCTAAAGTATAAAAAAAAACTCAAGTGAATTCTAGAAATAGATCAGCAAAACCTGTGAAAAACCTTACAAATATTCTCATTTTTTTCATAAGAAACTGAAAGGTTATTGTCTTTAGAAATTTCTGTAACCTTGAGATTGAATAAAGAACTACATGTTCAACTTCTATAACTCCACCTTTATACGTTTTATTATGTAAATTATTATGTTATTGTTAATAGCTGCAAATAATATTATTGAAGAACTGTTTAAATGACCTCAAAGATCTAAATCCAATTATTCCTCAAATTGATAAAAAAATGCCCTTTGACAGAAGAATACTTACTGATACTCGAATACTTACACAAGATTTTGAAATATTAACAAACTTGAATTTAAAATTGCCATTTGAATTCTGATTCAAATTCAGGATAAACATTTTTTTTCAAGCAATTAGGTACTATTTTACTACGTGGCTACATGACCTTATTTTTGAACCGGCATATAACGCAAATACATTAATAAACTGGAATAAAATACTCACGTCTGTAGTAAACTAATGAATTTTACAAAATTCTTCTGATTCAATGTGCACGAGACTTTAAAATATGCTTCCGCATCTACGAACGGAAACGAATAAAATGGGATACAATTAATCCAGCGATTCAACGACAAAAACCCTGTACTGCGTTTCAAGTTCCAATTTCCATCAGAGTCGATAACCGTAGCGCCCTCTAGTCGGAAACTGGATAGAAACCGGTTTTAAATCAATTCAAATTAATCATTTCGGATATCATCGAGTTTTTAGAAACAAGTAAGTTTTTTTTTTATAAGAGATAAGGATAATAGTCACTATTGCTGACATGACTTTTTATTGTGTTTAGGGTTTTAATTGTACAAGGGTTTTAGAGTCGTTTTTTTGGATTTTGACTCTCGGGAGAACATTTATTTTAAGTAGGTAGGCACATATTTTCACAAGATATGTTTTGAGTTACCTATAACGGAAACTTTGAGAGGTGAATTTTGGTTATTTACACTACTGAAAAAATACGGGTCAGTGTACTGCTCCGTTTTTTTTTTAATGTTATGTATACAAGACTTCAAACACTATTTTGTCTTGCATGAAATATATTCTGTAAAACGTTTTAAACAATCTGCGAAAATTGTATTTTTTTATTACTTTACAACAAAAAATTTCAAAACTGAAAAATTGGATTTTTCATGATTCTCGCTCACTTCTCACCACAATTGTTATGTTTTCCTGTAATAATTGTGATTTGAATTATCACTATCAAGAAATATTATCCAGTCAATAGATCAACTTCCCACACAAAAGTAATACAAGATGAATAGAAATTCATGTTAACTAATGCAACATTCTCTTTGAACGGGACACAAAATTGAAAAAGCAAGGAAAAATCAGTGTTTTTTTAAAATTGTATGTATCCATTAAAATAATGAAATGAATAAATAACAGATATTGAAAGTCAAACTAACATAGTTATCTACCAGAGATGGAATTTCATTGTGTTACTGGTAGTTTTAGTAGTGGTACTGAGTGTTTCCTTATTAGTGTCAGCCGTTATCTGTATTATGTTTGTATTATCCATTTTTGAGTTTTATTTATTGTTTGAAAGTTATTTTCATCATATTCATTTTATCGTCCTTGTCAAAACAGGCAAAACATGTATTTTTTATGTGTTGGCTACTCTTTGTTTTCGTCATTAGTGCTAGTTGTCAACTGTAGTTGAAGTTCATATAATCCATGTTTGTTTTATTTGCTGCTTCCATTATATTAATTTACGATTACTATTTTTAAGATTAAGTGGAGATAACGAGGTGAATAAGAAACATGACAATTATCACTAATGACAAAACAAAAAAAATGTATGTGCTTCAAATTATTAGGAAAATATACCAATATTACTCTAATCATATAGTTTACGACGTTCTCTATCCAAACCATAACAATTGTCATTAATGACACTTATGACATAAACAGAGTAGCCAACTCNGTTTTATCAAACATAAAAATATTAAAATGACGAACGTTCGGAGTCGAAAGAGAAAATTGTACAGTAATACATCTTGATAACACCATCTGAGGATACAAACTGTTTTCAAGAGCAATTGAACCTTATTTAGCCGTTGGTGGAAATTTGTTATGAGACCTTTATATATTGCGAGAAGTATATAAATTGAAAATAGTTGGTTATGATGATTGATAAAAAATACAATTTATAGGTTAATACATAAGTTAATTTATAATGAAGTGACTGTAAGGTATATAAAAATGCTTCAATATTGTCAACACAACAAGTTGTGGAAACAACTTCCTGCGACTGAGTAGATTTTTAGCTGGGATAACTCATTATGAAAGTTGGCATATCTGACCTAACCTCAGAACTCACCTCTTTTAGGTTTAATTGTCTGTTAAAGAAGCGAAAGGGTATAGCAGTCATAACCAACATCATAAATGCTATACTCAGATTGCAACACTTCCCGTACCCGTTCAAAGAGGCAACGGTAATCCACATATGGGAATAGGAATACGAATCTGCTGTGGAAGAGACTAAAGGATCGATAGTCCTTCCATCAAAAAAAAAAGAAAAAATACATCCTGTTTTGCCGAAATTGGATAATTATCTGTCAAACCTAAATGCCAAGAAGAAGAAGAAAAAGTAAGCTTTTGTAACGGCTAACGGCAATTCGGCAATTGTTGTTTGTAGTCGACGGTCGATACCAATTCGTTTGTTTAGATCTAGTGTAGCTAGCTATAATTGTGGTTTAAAAGCAACTGAAAGAGTTGTCCATAATATCTATTTCTATAAACTTACGTGATTGAGTAATTCTCAAAATGCCTAAACATAAGTCATCAAAGAGAAAATCATCAGATTCTTCATCAGATTCAGGACCAGAAGATGTAAGTGTTTAAATATATTTTTTGTATTAGTCCTATTGAGCCCTTTATTGAGCTTTCACTTATAGAAATTAAAACCATACGCAATAAGCCACCACGCAATAAGCCACCACGCAATAAACCACCACACTTGAACATTTTTATCCATTATTTACTATTAAAACTTGATTACCAATAACATTACAAATTCAAACATAAATTGTAACATACCATTTTATTTCGAAGCAAGAGCTACCATTATTATCTGTTTTCTTTCACTTTCAATTTTATTTTCATAGGATCACATTTTCTTATATTTCTTGTCATCAAACTTAATTTTTAACAAAAAATATAATCATGATCTATTCCACATCTTTTATGAATTGATACTGGGTTCATTTGTTTTTAGTATCCAATTTCAATAAGCTTCACATCTTTTAACAAAATTTGATACACTTCATGTTTAAAATCTCTTCCCTCTTGATAATATGGCATATTGTGAATGAGAAATGGAACTATTGAAGTGAAACATTTTACCGATTTAAATCAATATGTTTATGTGAAAACATGTTTGCCAAACCAAGGAATGCACAAATGTCTGCTGCATAAATGATTGCAGATTTTTCATCGAAAGTTGTATAGAGAGAAAAATATATTGACGTCGACACGACAAAAGGGCGTAAGCGACATTAGGTAAATTTTACAGGAGGCGGAAAAACGTTGGACTGTGTTATATTTCAACTATACTTCACAATTTTTGCATGAATCTAATATGTCATTTCCTTTTATGAGAGAAAAAATGTCTAAAAAAACTAGTTATTAAATAAAATGTCGCTTACACCTTTTTTCAGTTATCGAGTGGCGCTTTTTGATGGTGTTTACAAATATCGAGTTCTTTCCATATCCATTTAATTTGGCGGTTAGGAGTCAATTACGACAACAAATACTATTATTTTTATGGTCTCAGAGGGAGTTAAAAAATAACAAAAACATCACAAACAAAAAAATAAAAACACATTTTCTCAGATGAGTATGAGCGGTGTACAATAATTTTTAAAAATGGTTGAAGAAAGAATACTGGTATGCTCAAAATATTCATTCATGAATCAAGCAATATTATCGATATCTTCAATATCACTCTCAGATAAAATATCAGGTATATTTTAACTCTCTTTGAGAGAAGAGTATTCCATGTGGTACTGCTTCTTGATTTTGAAACTCTTGCAGAGTTCTAAAAGATTATTCAATTTTCATTTATTAATTGGCAGTTCTGAGCTATACACTTTAGGAATATTATAGTTTTTATTGTAATTCCATTCGATTTCATGGCGTTCCTTCAAATCATAATCTATGAAAACAGTGAACTTGTTGGAAAATTCAGCCCGCTTAATATCAGTAACTTTTATATATGTACCTTGCAACGCCCGGTTATGAAGCTCCTTAGAGGTGTTACAGCTGTTGTCTCGTTTTTTCTGTATTATCTGTATTGTAGCTTCTACAAGCTGCGAAGTTTGGAGTTTACGAGGTAAGGGTAAAGTTTTTCCAAGTACCTCAGTCAACACTACTACACTGATTAAGAACTCTGGCGACGGAATAGAGTGAAGAAAAGCAAATGAATCAAATGTTCCAAAATTCATTGAGTTTTGGTTAAATAATGATAATAGTTAGATGCAGTTAAGCGATCACAAGGCTCTCAGTTTCGTGTGCTGGAGTTGTCAAAACTATTACTTGTCTAATTTATTCCGATAGCCTCAGAACAAACATTTTGGAGAGTTGAGAGTTTTGAGGGTTCCTGGTCACAAGACACTTTGAAGTGATTGAAAACCTGCATTGCATTACACAACATTAACATATCTGATTCTGAAAAACTTGATGAAATTCACATGTTTTCTGAAAAACAACTTTATAAAATGAAGAAAGGTATTAACAAACCACTTTATGGTAAATCGTTAAAATCAACCAAGCCTTTTTCTTCGTGTATATCGAGGTGGTATACACATCATATTCAAGGTTACGAATTTTGAGCCATGGAACATCAAAGGCGACATCAGAGCTTTCGCATCTGGTGGTTAAACCATTGATGAATGCTTGTCTACGGAAGCCCGGTCACGACATACAATGCTACTGGTACAGATATGTGACGTCACTTGTGTAACGTACAGAGATATTACGTCACTTGTGCAACGTACAGAGATATTATGTCACATTGGTATGCGTAACTTGAAATATAATGAATGGCTGGTTTTCTATTACTTTTTTCTATCCATTTATATATGTTAATAGAATAGTAATCAATTTTGAATCAATGATTGTTAGCAATGCGGTGGTTTCGTAACAATTTAATCAAGAAATATTTCACAGAGGGTTACACTCAGCCTGAAATCGTATTTTTTTTGTTCTTTCACCATNAGGGTTACACTCAGCCTGAAATCGTATTTTTTTTGTTCTTTCACCATAATTTAGGCATTTCTGTTAGGCGGTTACAAAAATATTGAAAAAATTGAATCTAAAACGACAAAAATGTTGAAAAATCACCCATAGAGGATGTGGTTTTTGGAGTGTTAGAAGAAATTGAAGTGGAACCTGCCTAGGATACAAATCGTTATCGAGGAGGTATCCAAGAATACTAAGGATAGCTGATCCGGAAGGTGTTGAGGCAAGGTCACGTAAATACATAGTGCCAGGAACCAATTTTATATGGCACATGGATGGTTATGACAAACTGAAGCCATTTGCTTACGCAATCCACAGATCTATAGATGGATTTTCCAGAAAAATATTGTGGCTACGAGTAGCTTCAAGGAATAACAGTCTTAGGATAATAGCGTCATATTACTTAGAAACAATTAGACAATTGAAAGTTGTGCCAA